CACACACACACTCACACACACACACCCTTTTAGCACAAACACATCGCTGCAGAGTGAGAAAAATGCCGGACCATAATGCAGCGCCGGAGGCCTCCAGCTCTATCTGAGAGAGTGTGTGTGAGTGTGTGTGTGTGTGTGTGTGTGTGAGTGTGTGTTTGAGTCGGTCCATCCACTTCACTATTATGTTTATAAAAAGAAAGAGACTCTGAAAAAAAAAAAAGTGAAATCCAGCAGCAAAGGACCCAGAAAACAATCATAAAAAGTCGAACAAACCCAAGAAAATTTGTAAAATATTAAATTAAATGATCATTTATCACGTCTTAATGCTTCAATATCAAATATAAACAACCGCTGCCTGAAACACTGTAAAACATGTATTTTTTATCTACAGCTCTGCTCTACCCACAGTGAAACGAACCTTTTTAAATTAAACCGTTTAATTCACACATAGTAAAAGAATAAATGAGTGTTTGTAAAAATATGAATACAAATATAGACTTTATTGACAGTCCTGGTTGATTTAAGGTTCACATGTATAGTGCTCTTTTTTTTTGTAAATGATGTGTAATTTAACAAATCAGGGGAATCTGTATTTTGAAAAAAATAAAAAGTAAAATATTTACTTTTTTCTTGTTGATTTAAAAACAGTAAAGCTGTTTAAGGTGACTAAAGTATTATTGTTGTATTTGTGGGAAACAAATAACTAAAAACTGTATTTTTTGTGGATATTTACAGTTTTTTGTCCGAGTTGTTTCTTGTCAAGGTAAAGGCGAATAGATAAATAGATTCAATAATTCATAGTTTTTTGAGTGTATTATTAGAATTTTATTGATATTTTTCCTGTGAAATAAAAATTATTTGGTCATTCTGACTCCGCCCCTCGCTCGAGCTGACAGCCAATCGGATCGGCTCCTACCTCCTCGGTCTCCTCCTCCTCTGAGGCGTCGCTCTGCTCCTCCTCGGCCTCCTCCTCCTCCTCCTCCTCCTCCTCCTCGGGGAACTCCACGTCCGACTCTCCGGGAGCGATCGGGACGCTGATGGTCAGGTTGGGGTTGGTCATGTAGCTGTCGTCCTCCGGGACCACGTACTTCTNAGGACAGTCTGTGGTGAGTTCACTGTCTGACATAACTGCAGGACAGTCTGTGGTGCGTTCACTGTCTGACGTAACCATAGGACAGTCTGTGGTGAGTTCACTGTCTATGGTGAGTTCACTGTCTGACATAACCATAGGACAGTCTGTGGTGAGTTCACTGTCTGATACAACCGTAGGACAGTCTGTGGTGAGTTCACTGTCTAAAAATAACCGTAGGACAGTCTGTGGTGCGTTCATTGTCTGACATAACCGTAGGACAGTCTGTGGTGCGTTCATTGTCTGACATAACCATAGGACAGTCTGTGGTGCGTTCACTGTCTGACATAACCATAGGACAGTCTGTGGTGCGTTCACTGTCTATGGTGAGTTCACTGTCTGACATAACTGCAGGACAGTCTGTGGTGAGTTCACTGTCTGATACAACCGTAGGACAGTCTGTGGTGAGTTCACTGTCTGATACAACCGTAGGACAGTCTGTCATCGTCAGTTTGGGGTGACGTTTCTGTGAATTCTTCGGCTGATGAACCTTCAGTCACTTTTCTTCTTCTTTACTCTGTGAATCCAAACACAGACGGTGCGTTCAGGTGTTCGCTCCAGACCGTTCAGCGGGCCGCCGCCACATTTCGTCCCTGCACCGTCACGGCGAGTCGAGTCGTTCGTCTTCACTCGTCCGGCCGCCGACTGGGACCGACCGCTTCGTGTGTTTTGTGTGAACAGACGCAGAAACGGGACGCGTCTCGGGAGGAAGCTTTAGAGGGACGAGCAGCGTCCACGAAGCAGGTCCTACAGCTCGGACGTGTTCTGCTGACGTCTGGGCTCCTCCTCATTCAGACGAGCATCTTCGTGGCTGCATCGACGGCGTCTGACTAAGATCAAGTCCAGTTTCAGATCTACGAGCTGCAGAAACATTCCAGCAGCTAAACTAATGTAAATACGAACCACCGCCTTCATTTCCAGCGAGTTCGTGTCACTTTTTACTGGACGTTCAAGTGTTCTGAAACATTTCTCTCTCGACCGTTGTTGTTCACAGTCTCTCTGTTTTGATGTCTCATAACAAACGGCGGGAATCAAAGCCGGCGTCCACTTCCCGCCACCTGTCCGGCCGAGCGCACCTGTGCAGCTGTTAGCGGGTCACCGAGGAGGCGTTCGGGTCGCGCTGGGGTTTATCAGCTGCTGCCGCGCGGGGAAAAAAACAACAACACAAAAACAAAAAACAAAGGAAGGATAACGAGGCCAGGTGTCGGCGCTCAGGTTTTAACCCTAAAAACTCAGCGAGCGGCTGGAAAAAAAACACAAAACATTTCACGTCCAGAAGCTAAAACCAGGAGCCGGACGACTGCAGTTAGTTTCTATTTTAGCAGAAACATCCGTCGAGAGCTGGACGGAAACACGTTCAAAGTGTTCACGTTGAACAACACGTCAGAGATTTTAAATGAGCTCACGCTGACGTCAGCCTTCAGGAGGTTCTGGACGGTTCTTCTGTCGGGTCACACTTTTGTGGCACTTTGGAGAAATTTAAAGTCGTTTTACACAATTATCCTGGACAAGGTCAGGTTGTGTTGGGTTTGTTGTGTATTTTTGTGGTCGTTTTGTGTATTTTTGTGGTCGTTTTGTGTATTTTTGTGGTTTTGTGTCTTTTGTGGTCGTGTTGTGTCTCTTTGTGGTTGTTTTGTTTCTTTGTGGTCGTTTCGTGTCTCTTTGTGGTCGTTTTGTGTGTCTTTGTGGTCGTTTTGTGTCTCTTTG